GATGCTTTGAAGGGGAACACCGAAAAGTTCTCCATCTTCCATGCCTTCCTCGATTCTCAGAAGGCTAAAGTCAGAGACTACTGCCTTAATGAATTCCAGAAGTCGCCGGCGGTATCTGGGAGGCGGCGGCTAGCCGGATTTGTTGCGGACATTTTCTGTACCGACAAGATAATGGATGTGGCTGAGGAGTTTGGGGTCCCCACCTACGTGTTCTACGCTCTGGGTGCTGCTATGCTCGGCCTTCTCCTCCATTTCAGATGCCTCAAAGATGACCATGGTATAGATTATGCCTCCGAGTTTAAGGATTCCGACCCTGATCTCAATATCCCTGCATATTTCAAACCCTTTCCGGTCAAGTTACTGCCCAACCTTCCCTTCTTTGACTTGTGCACAAGACTCCGAGAGGCCAAAGGCGTCATCACCAACACTTTCTTGGAACTAGAGCCGCATGCGATTCAATCTCTCTCCAACGACAAGAGATTCCCACCGGTCTATCCTCTGGGGCCGGTATTAAACTTAAACCGTCATCCGAAGAATAATCGAGAATCGGAGGGGAAACAAATCTTCCAATGGTTGGATGACCAACCAGCTTCATCAGTTGTATTCCTTTGCTTCGGAAGCGGCGGTGCTTTTTCCGAGCCTCAAGTAAAGGAGATAGCCTACGCACTTGAACGTAGCGGCCAAAGGTTCTTATGGGCCTTGAGGAAGCCACCCTCCCCAGGTTCAGTACTCCCCACCGAGTATAGTAATCTGGATGAGGTCATGCCGGAAGGATTCTTGGAAAGAACTAAAAGCATCGGAAAAGTTATAGGATGGGCACCACAAACTGCAGTTCTAGCTCACCCTGCTGTGGGGGGTTTCGTGTCTCATTGTGGATGGAATTCAACTTTGGAGGGTATTTGGTTTGGCATTCCGATTGCAACTTGGCCAATGTCTGTGGATCAACAAGGAAATGCGTTCCAATTGGTGAGAGAGATTGGAACGGCTGTCGACATTAAGATGGATTACAGAGTAGATTCAAGAGATCCGAATAATAAAATTCCAATAATTCCTGAAATTGTGAATGCAAAAGAGATAGAAATTGGAATCACAAGTCTTATGGACCGCTCTACTCCCAATTCTATAAGGACAAAGGCTAAAGAATTTAAAGAGAAGAGCAGGAAAGCACTAGAAGATGGTGGCTCATCCATTAATTTTGTTGAAAGGTTTTTTGAAAATGTCACGAACAATCTCAAATAAGTGAAGAATGATGAGATAATGGTGTTGCAATTAATAATAATGTATTAGCTAGAGTGGTGATACATAATAAATAGATCTATGCATGTTTCATAATTTATATATTATCATTAGCCTTAGCTTTTATGGAAGTTTGAATCTTACTAGCATGCATGCTTCTAATAACTTGAGATTAATAATGGTTTGGATCCTTATGTCTTGCTACTAACTACTAATTACTAATTAGGACATTATATTTGTGTGTACGCGAGTGCTATTATATTATACTCATACTGTGTTTATTGACCTTTGCAAATTAAAAGGTTGTAGAATTGTCTTCAATTCTACATTTATGTGCCAACAATCTCGATGGGACAAATCGCGGCGGTATTTCAAATACACACAAGTCGTAGGTTGGATCGTAGAGGGATCCTTTAATAGTCAAATTTGTTGGTTTAAGTGTTGAATTTGAGTAATGATGTGAGGTTAGAGGGTCCCGAGCTATGGCATGGTAGGTGAAGATTAACTCCTCTCTCAGTATAAATGTGGTATTTATAGAGAAAGAAAGGATACACATGTCGGGCTCTTGGCATTCCTGACACATGCAGGGCCAGTCCTATCATTTTATAGGCCCGGGGCAGGACAAAAAAAATGGGCCCCCAATTAATATATATTTCATGCCTAAAATTTAAATAAAATAATTTTTTTTTTATTATAAAGAAAGGGGATACCCTACATATACACACTATTGCCTCAATAGAGGTTCAAACCTTACACCTCCCACTTAGGGGAGCAACCCGATATCAATGGACTACAAGTCACTTGGTATTAAAAAAAAAATTATTAATACCAATAACTTTAAATAAGATTAACAAGTTTTTAACAATTTTACATACACAATAATAATCATTGAAAAAAATTCTAGGTGCTTTTCTTAATGTAAAATAATAAATAATCGTAAGTGCCTTCATAAATAAATTATTATTATAGTTTATAAAAATAAATAAATAATTTAAAATTGAGTAATTATAAACAATAACATTGTTAGCATAATAAATAATAAATTAATTATTATTAAAAATTTACTAAACAATAATTGCAAACATATATGAAGTTAAAAAAATTTTTTTGACTAGGAGCAAGAAATTAAAATATTTCATAACGCAATAAAAAATGTAAAAAGATATGAAACATAATTATCTAGATAAAATAGTTTGAACATAAAGCATATAAATCACACATCTTCTATATTATTTATATGATTTTTATAAATACTTTTTTTTTAAATACATAAAATTTCAAGTTTTTTAGAATAATTTGAATACAATGACACATGATAGAAGCTTCTATATTACATTGATTAGATATTCATAAAAAGGTACGGAGTAAATTATCTTTTAATTTTTTTTATAATTCAATCTCAAAATATATCATATAACCCCCTCCGTCCTATTTTTACGTGTCTTGTTTGATTAACATGAGTTTATTGAACTTTTTTTAATTCAATTTTTTTATAATATGTTTAGTATAAGTATATAAAAATTTATAAATTTAGAAACTGCATTAAAATTTTAATATAAAAATTTATATATTTAATATAAAAAATTTTCATAATATGTTTAGTATAAATATATGAAAATTTATATATTTAAAAACTACATGAAAAATACTACTCCGTATTAAACACAAAAAATCAATAAAAATAATTTTTTAAAAGATACATTAGAATATAAGCAAAGAAGTAAAGTTGAGGAATTCTAAAATGTGAAGGGAAGGTTTGGATCACCGGCCTTTGATTAAATGAGGTTAAAATTCAAATATCTTACCAACCAAACTAATTTACCATACTGTAAAACATATGTATATAAATTACTTACACTCAATGCATATATACTATATATATAAGAGATAGGATGGGGCCCTCCCCCAAGCTGGGCCCTGGGCAAGGGCCCAGCCTGCCCTTGCCCCAGGGCCGGCCCTGGACACATGTTGCGCATGCAATCGGTTGGTTCAAGGATCCATGCCACAATATATAGTCACATGTTGTAATATTCCTGATCATCCATTGAGTGGGCGATGTGATCGGTTTAAAGTTAGGAATCTAGGTTTCAGTCTTTAAGTGGCCTTGCTCGGGATGATTGTTTCGACCTAAATAGTTCAGAGTTTATCTCAAGGTAATAAAGTCTATCGTGGACCACGCTTTAGATCGGTCTTCGTATTTAGGTCATGCATATCAAGCTAGCGGTTGATCGAGGTAGAGAATGATTCGTCTTGGTGGCCTGACTAGATACCCGAGCAGGTATACGGTATGCAGAGGAAGGTGTACTCGAAAAATATTCCCTATCAAATCCTAACTTGCATCCTAGAAAATTAAAATAAAGGGAATGTTTTTGGAATAACACAGACAATGCAAGATCCATTAGAACAATACAACAACCCAACTCTATCCAAATTATTTTGACAAATTATATCGTGGACCATAGTTCATACTGCAGCAGTGTGGATCATAAATGAAACTTCATTGTTATTATATTGAATGTCCATTTTTTATTGTTATAATAGTCCATTTTTGGTAGTATATCTTAAAATGAATCTTCAATATAATTTGAATTCCTAATGTATTCTCAATTATTCTATTCCTCCTTAACAAACAATGTAATTTAAATTCCAATTCATTTCCCGGATCATATTTCCTTCCTTCCAACCAAACGTCTTGTTAGTGGAGTATTTTCCTTCTTTTTTTTTTCCCCCCTAAATTTGCAAGGTGATTTATTATTTTAGAAAGTTTGTTAATGCTAAATTTGTGTTGTGATTGACGGGAGCTTTGCGAGTTACTAATTTGGCCGAGCGTCTTTTGTATAAATACCCTAAAAAGGGTGAGGTTATGAATTTTTGCAAGTTTTAAGGCAATAAGAGCATTTTGTCTTTATTCTTGTGTTTGAACATTTCTTATTACTTTTTAGATTATTTCGACTGGTACGGTTGATCTGTCAAAAATTGTCTAAAAACAGTATAATTAACATAGGAATCGTCTGCAGGCCGGGGATTGAACGAAAAGCTTTTGACTTTTCCGGTTTAAGCTGTCATTTCCTAATTTTCTATTCATGGTTTAGAGAACTTGTGATATCGTGATCATGGTGACTACTTAGAAAAGGCCATCAATATTATTATTATTATTGTTGTTGTTATCTTGTTTTTATTATTATTATTATTATTATTATGTCTTTATAGGTCTTAAACTTTTACATCCTAACTGCTAATTTTACTAAACATTTTATTATAAATCGTTAATTCAATAGGCTAGTTAAAATTGTTAATACAATTCATTAACCGTTAATTAATCTACCTAAGTTTTAGGTTGAAAGCAAGCAAGAAACACGTTTCTGCAGGATGGGTTTGCACAGATCCAAAAGCCAAAACAAATATACTGCTACTTTATTTATTTGGTAATTAATATATTATTATTACACACATGGTCCCCGCATTGTGTAATAATAATACAAGAAAAATATATTATTATACACACGATTCACAGCTACCATACGTACGACGTCAATAGATGCAATTTTATAACCTAACTGAATTGCACGATCAATTTGTCAATTAGTACAAATCTTAAATATTGATATATAAAATATATTATTACACACTCGATTCACAGCTACCATACGTACGGCGTCGATAGATGCAAATTTACGTATAAATAAATTGCAGAAGAGTTTCATGGTCTGCATATATATTCAATAGCTAGCTAGCTTCGATCGCTACAGTACAGTTCTTTCAAATATAATTTTGATTTCTCTCATCTCATCTCCACAGTACAGTACAGTTTTTTTTTTTTTTGAATGCTACTGGCTCTATTACATTGTAGTATCTGTTCATCAGTACATTACAGTTGTTTCCAATGGAAGACGCTATTGAGCTGGTTTTCATTCCAGCCCCTGGAATGGGTCACCTTGTTTCTGCAGTCGGAACCGCGAAGCTCCTCCTGCAAACACGACCTCACCTCTCCATCACTATCTTGATCATCAAACTGCCTTTCGCCCCCGATGCCAAGATTAATTCTTACATCGATTCTCTGCTTGCTGATGAGAAGGATAACCCTAGATTGAAGCTCGTACCACTGCCTGAGGATCTGGATGCTTTGAAGGGCCACACCGACAAGGTTTCCATCTTCCGTGCCTTCCTCGATTCTCAGAAGATTAAAGTCAGGGACTACTGCGTTAATGAAATCCAGAGATCATCGGGTTCTTCTGCTAGGCGGCTAGCCGGATTTGTTGTGGATATGGTGTGTACCTCCATGATGGATGTGGCTGAGGAGTTTGGGGTCCCCGCCTACGTGTTCTTCACTTCCGGTGCTGCTATACTCGGCCTTCTCTTCCTCGCAGAAGACCATGGTAAAGATATCTCGGAGTTTAAGGATTCCGACCCTGATCTCAATATCTCTACATATTCCAAACCCTTTCCGGTCAAGTTACTGCCCAAAACTGGGTTGGACACAACGGAGTTCGGCAGACGAGTCCAACAGGCCAAAGGCGTCATCGTCAACACCTTCTTCGACTTAGAGCCGCATGCCCTTCAATCTCTCTCCAACGACGAGAGGTTCCCACCCATCTATCCTGTGGGGCCCATATTGAACTTAAACGGTCATCGGAATAATAATTCTACGTCGGAGAAGCAAATCTTGGAATGGTTGGATCACCAACCGGCTTCATCGGTTGTATTCCTTTGCTTCGGAAGCGGCGGTGCTTTTCCCGAGCCTCAAGTGAAGGAGATAGCCTACGCACTTGAACGTAGCGGCCAAAGATTCTTATGGACCTTAAGGAAGCCACCCTCTCCAGGTTCAATAGGACTCACTGAGTATACTAATCTGGAAGAGGTCTTGCCGGAAGGATTCTCGGAAAGAACTAAAAGTATCGGAAAAGTTATAGGATGGGCACCACAAACTGCAGTTCTAGCTCACCCTGCTGTGGGGGGTTTCGTGTCTCATTGCGGATGGAATTCGATTTTGGAGAGTATTTGGTTTGGAGTTCCGATTGCAACTTGGCCAATGTGTACAGATCAACAAGCAAATGCGTTCCAATTGGTGAGAGATATAGGAATAGGTGTGGAAATTAAGATGGATTATGCAATAGATTCGATTAATTATATTCCAATAGTACCTGAAATTGTGAGTGCAACAGAGATAGAAATTGGAATCACAAGTCTTATGGATCACTCTACTTTCAATTCTATAAGGACAAAGGCTAAAGAACTTAAAGAAAAGAGCAGGAAAGCACTAGAGGAGGGTGGCTCATCCTTTAATTTTGTTGAAAGTTTTTTTGAAAATGTCATGAATAACCTCAAGTAATTAAGTATGTGAAGATCAAATGGTGTCATAATAATAATGTATTAGAATGGTGACACATAATAAATGGATTTATGCATGTTTCATAATTTATTAGCCTTTTATGAATGTTCCACTCTTGCTAGCATGCATGCTTCTAATAACTTGAACTTAGTAACGTACGGTTTGGATCATGTCTTGCTACTAACTACTAATAATTAATTAGGGCACATTATATTTGTGTGTACGTGAGTACTATTATATATACTCATGTGTTTCTTGACTTTTGCCAAAGATTGAACATTTGTCTTCTACGTTTATGTGCTAACAATTCTAAGTTACACCAAGTTGCAATTAGGCCATCGAACTCAAAAAAATAACAATTGAGTCCCTAAACTACATAAATTCATGTAATTAGGTCTAAAATGACCTGTTTACCTATTACTCTGCTGACGTGGAGGTTGCGAGTTTTAAAAATTATTTTTAAAATAATTTTAAACAAAAAATTAATTAAAAAAAAAAAAAAAAAAAAAAAAAACAGAACGGCCGGAGACAAAATCGTCTCCGGCCGTCCTTCGTCTCCAGCCATGGAGACGAAGGTCTCCCTGGCCAGGAGACGAAGGTCTCCCTGGCCGGAGAGACGAAGGTCTCTTCGTCTCTCCAGCCAGCGAGACCTTCGTCTCCTGGCCATGGAGACGAAGGTCTTCGTCTCCATGGCTGGAGACGAAGAACTCCTGCCATGGAGACGAAGAACGGCCGGAGACGATTTCGTCTCCGGCCGTTCTGTTTTTTTTTTTTTTTTTTTTTTTTTTTTTTGTTTAAAATTATTTTTAAAATTCCCAACTTACATAGCAGGTAAACAGGTCAATTTAGACCTAATTGTATAAATTTGTGTAGTTCAGGGACCTAATTGCATCTTTTTTGAGTTCGATGGTCTAATTGTAGTTTGGTGTACAGTTCAGTGACCTATTTGACCCTTATTCCTAAAAAATTTAAGTAAAAGGGAATAGTATTGACTATATTATCTTTAAAAAAATTTATTTTATCAAATTAGTTCATCAATTTCAGATTAAGTTGACATCTCTAACATGAAATATTATCAACGAGTGTGTATATCTTTAGTTCCTTCTCTTTGAAATGTAGTAGTGAGGCATGTGAGACAGACATCGAACTCAATAGCCCACACGTTAATTAGCTAAGACCACGAGTTTCTGTTGCACTAGTACACCGCCATCTTGTAATCTTGTATTACTGTATTAGTCCTTTTACTTTTGAGCTTTTAATTTAATCCAGTTATATTTGTTGGCTTAAAAAAAAAATAAAAATTATGTACATTGAAAAAGGTTTCAATAGAATCTAGAATGAATTGATAACAATGAAATTTGTTAAAAATAATAATTCGTCTTTGAACCTTGAAATTTTATAAAAATAAAGCAGATTTAGTAACAAAGATTAAACTAAACGTAATGACTAAAATTAAGTGAAAACTTAAGTAAACTAATTATAATCTAAATCCAAAATTAATCAATTGTTATACCATGGACCAGAGTTCATATTGCATTGTGAACTCTGATACAAAAATTATGTACCTTCCATTAACACATTTGTACTTATAGTTAACAGTTTCTGTACATGTAAACAAATAACTTGATAATTGCTGACACATAATATGATACCTACATGAACAGAAACTTGATGACACATAATATGATAACTATAGGTACAGGAACTATCAACTGCAGGTACAGAATGTGTCAACTTTAGATACAGAATGTGACTTGATAATCTCTGATATATAATATGATAGCTACACATACAGAAACTATCAATTACAGGTACAAAATGTGTCAACTATAAATACAAAAGCTGAAAGTTATTTTTAGACTAGGGTCTACAAAGCCAATCGTTATGCCATGGAACTGTGTTCACCATCCATGGTGAACATGGTCCCAAACGGTAACGGTGCCTACGGGCACCGTTATCTTCCACCAATCTTTTTTTTTTTTTAATTAACAGCGCGACTTTTCTTCTTCATATTTACATTTTGCGGTTTCACTTTCTCTTCCTGCAAGTTTCTTCAACACTCATAAATTATGAATGTGTAGGCATGGATTTATGAATGTGCAGTTATGAAATTATGAATTTTCTTTTATGAGATTATGAATTTTCTGTTATGAAATTATGAATTTTCTGTTATGAGATTATTAATGTACAGAAAATTCATAATTACATAACTGTAAATTCATAATCTCATAACAGAAAATTCATAATTTAATAAATGTTTTTCTTTTATGAGATTATGAATTTTCTGTTATGAGATTATGAATGTACAAAAAATTCATAATTACATAACTGTAAATTCATAATCTCATAACAGAAAATTCATAATTTAATAAATGTAAATTCATAATCTGAACATAGAATGCAAAACGCCGTTAACAGCACATTAACTAAATTATTTTTTTTTTTTCGATTGGTAGGGAATACCCCGACCGACATGCTTGGTAGGGAATACCCCGACCGACATGCCTTCGTCTTTTATTCTCGTTTGTGCAGGTTGCAGGTCGGCCTTCCTTAGAAGAACCCGGTCGACTCCCGACCGGGTGTTGCCCGACCGAAGTCCTTGAAACCCGATTGATAGCCCTTAGGCGAGAGAGTCAAGAAGAGACGCGTGGCAGCGTTACGCGTCGACAGGCAGGGCTACAGGGAGGAGGACACGTCATTGCTACGTGGGTGACATGCCGAACAGCCGGACTTGTGTCTCCGGCCCAGCGGCTATAAATACCCGCGGTGGCAGCAGTGTGAGGGACTTTTGGACGATCGATAGGCTATTCTCAGAGCATCCCGACCTCAGTCAGTCGGCCCTCAAAATAGCCATTGTAGATTGTACTTAGGACCTTCACCTTGATCAATAAAAGTGTTTTATTTGCTTTAACTGGTCTTGCATTATTTTATCTACCGCTTACGTGGGAATTAACACTATCACCGATAAAAACGATGTCGTTTGGGACTGTGTTCAACAAGCATGATGAACACGTTTCCACGGCATAATTTGCGGGCCTAAGGGATCAGGGTCTGAGCAGCAAAAACAGACAAATTATTATGTGGACCATCGTCCATACAGTGTTATGTGGACCATAACAAAAAATATATTTTTAATATACTAAATGTATATTATTTTTGTAATGTATGTATATTATACAATATAATATACACTCATTACAAAAATAATGTATATCTCTTAAATACAATGTACATTATTTTTGTACTGAAGTCGTCATCGTCAACACCTTCTTCGACTTAGAGCCGCATGCCTTTCAATCTCTCTCCAACGGCGAGAGGTTCCCACCCATCTATCCTGTGGGGCCCATATTGAACTTAAACGGTCATCGGAATAATAATTCAAAATTGGAGAAGCAAATCTTGGAATGGTTGGATCACCAACCGGCTTCATCAGTTGTATTCCTTTGCTTCGGAAGCGGTGGCGCTTTTCCCGAGGCTCAAGTGAGGAGATAGCCTACGCACTTGAACGTAGCGGCCAAAGGTTCTTATGGGCCTTGAGGAAGCCACCCTCTCCAGGTTCAGTAGTCCTCACCGAGTATACCAATCTGGAAGAGGTCCTGCCGGAAGGATTCTTGGAAAGAACTAAAAGCATCGGAAAAGTTATAGGATGGGCACCACAAACTGCAGTTCTAGCTCACCCTGCTGTATGGGGTTTCATGTCTCATTGCGGATGGAATTCGATTTTGGAGAGTATTTGGTTTGGAATTCTGATTGCAACTTGGCCAATGTGTACAGATCAACAAGCAAATGCGTTCCAATTGGTGAGAGATATAGGAGTAGCTGTTGAAATTAAGATGGATTATAGAACATATTCAAGTGATTCGAAGAATAATATTCAAATAATCCTGAAACGTAGTTAGTACGTAGTGGCCGCTCATCCTTTAACTTTGTTGAATGTTTTTTTGAAAATGTCATGAATAACCTCAAATAATTAAGTACCTGAAGATGAAATTATGTCATAATAATAAAGTTTTAGAGTGGTGTGACACATAATAAATGCATTTGTGCATGTTCATAATTTAGTAGCATTAGCCTTTATGAAAGTTCCATTCACTGCTGAAAGTTATGAAATTTCCGACCACCTGAAAGTGATCTTATATCAAGTTGAAACCAAAAAGTGGTCGGAAATAACAATAAATGTTTTTCCGAATACCAAAAGTGGACGGAACAAGACTTTCGACTTGATTTAAGATTATTTTCAGGTGGTCGGAAATTCCATAATTTCCAGCGGTAACTCTTGCTAGCATGCATTCTTCTAATAACTCGAACTTAGTAACGGTTTGGATATGTCTTGCTACTAACTACTAATTAGTACACATTATATTTGTGTATACGTGAGTTCTATTATACTCATCATGAGTTTCTTGACTTTTGCAACAATCCTAACTTGCGACCTAGAAAATTAAATAAAGAGAATAATTTTGGGCATATTATCCCTAAAAATTTTCAATTTTATTAAACTAACTTATTAATTATGGACAAAAATTGATATCTCTAACATAAAAGTTTATTAAACTAACCATGCATGGTGCATACGGATGCAAAAACGACGTCGTTTTAATAAAACGCGCGTCTCCCCTTAAAAAAAAAATCAGGTTCGATTCACAGCAACAACATATGAACTAAAATTCTAGAATTGATGAACTATAATTCCATAATCGATGAACTATAATTCCAGAATCTAATCTATGAACTAAAAATTCCAGAATGAATGAACTAAAATTCCAGAATCTATGAACTAAAATTTCAGAATCGATGAACTACAATTCCAGAATCGATGAACTATAATTCCAAAATCAATGAACTATAATTCCATAATCCACTGCTGGAAATTCGCGTTTTTCCGACCTTATTTCCGACCACCAAAAATTGGTCTCAAAAAATGACTTGTTTCATTTTTTCCGACGGAATGTTACGGTGGTCGGTATTTTCCGACCACATTTAATAAGTGGTCGGTATTTCCGACCACTGTTTACATGGTGGTCAGAAACATTTTGTCAAATTTAATTTTTAAAATTAGTGTATTTGCGACCACCCAAGTGGTCGGAAGTTCCGACCACCTTAGAATAGTGGCCGGAAATCATTCTTCTCCTTTTTTTTTTTTTTTGGTACTTTTTGTTTTTTTATTGTTGTGGTTCAATGGTATGAAGGCCACGTGATTTTTATTTTTTTTTTTATCATTGATTATTCTACTCATGGTTTTTTTTTTTTTCAATCGACCACGACGTAAAGAGTTTACTAGTAGATATCATCTCACCATTCTTGCTATGAAAAATAAGACCATGCTACCCTTCCCATATAGATATATGAAATCATTTTCTAACTTCAACTCTTTAAAACCATTATTCTTGTTAGGACTCTATAATCATAGTTATATTCAGTTTCATATTCCTACATAATGTATTGTATATTATCGTGTATTGTATTGCGTATTATTTTTATCACATATATAATACAAACATTCATATGGTCTCAGTAGTCTAGGTTTTCTCATGGCGTTCATTCCTGATGGTTATGTCGTTGTTTTGTTTGAGCGAACCATCTCTAACTAACGCTGCTACGCTGTCTCCTACGTCAATGACCATGATTGCCCTTTCAACGACACATCAATATATCTTTGGCAAACTGACGTAATGAATTGTAATCATCGTATATTGTACTGTGAACCCCTATCCTTTATCATAAACTCAACATATGCTCAACCAACTCATCTAAATCAACTCCTATTGACATTCAATAGTTTTGTTTTACTAATACTAACACATGTACTATATATACATACAAAAATTATATATGGGGTGGGGGTGGGGGTGGGGTGAGGGGGGCAGCTGCCCCCTTGCCCCCCTTTGGCTCCGTCCCTGGTATCACTCATAATTTATTAAAGAGTTAATACCTCCAATGGTCCTCCGAGTATTAGCGATTTACCGACTGTGTTCATCCGAATTTCAAATGACCTTCAATGGTCCTTCATATTTTAAAAAATAATCACCAGTGGTCTTTTTAGGACGTCTCGTGGTCATTTTAAACTCGGAGTTTTTTATTTTTATTTATTTATTTATTTATTTTAAGAATTAGGATGATATATGGTTATTTTTTAAACATAGAGAACTGGAGGTCATTTAAAACTCGGATAACCACAACTGGTAAATCGCTAATACTCAGAGGACTATTGGAGGTATTAACTCATTTATTAAATATGTTAGAGAAATGTATTATTATTGTAAACTTGTTCTTTAGCATATTAATAAATTGTGGATGATATTGTAAATTGTGAGTGATATAGTATGATTTTTTGTTAATTTAGAATAAAAGTTTTAAGGAATTGAAGTTATAATATTTTTATAGCAATTATAATTTTTGAAAAAATATTGTAATTATAATATTGTAAATAATACATTCCACTACATCCACGAAATGCATATTATTCCATAATAATGCAAAAGAATTAATTATTATTATATTTTATTATAATTAGTCAAAGTTCCTTTTTTTTTTTAAACTAGTCAAAGTTTTTAATTTGCATAATTTGTTCTTATGGACTATATTAAACTTAGATAACTATATTAAACTTAGATAACTATATTAAACTATACACTTAAAACAATTATATTCTACTATATTTTAGACAAAAACAAAGAAAAAACTAAAAAAAAAAAGGCGCCATTCCCAAATTTTCGCCCAAAATTTCACGACTTAATCCCTCCTCCCTCCTTACTCCTTCACACTGCCCTAAATCTTCCTCCCCCATCCAGTCGACCAGTCCTCCCTCCTTACTCCTTCACTCTGTCCCAAATCTTCCTCCTCGACGATGCACCGGCAACCTCCTCGTTCCGCGCTCACTCGACGACGCACCGCAACGACGCACTGGGCAGTATAACAACAACAAACCATTGATGTAAGTTCTTCACCCTCCTTCCTCCTTCCACCCTCACTTGACTTTTTGCTAATTTCTTGGTGATTTATGTATAAGTGTTGATTATGAAGTTCTGTGCTTCTGATTGTTATGTTGGCTGTTGATTATGAAGTTGTATGCATCTGGTTTCATTGGTTTGATTATAACTTATAGAGGATGCTGAAAGTTAGGGTTTTAAAAGTTTTGATTAATGTAGAGGGCTTCTGATTCATTGAATGTGTTTTTGCTTTTGAATATATGGGGATATGGTGATGTTCTATATTAATGAAAGATTGATAAGCCAGGTCTGAACTTCGTTGATTCTAGCTGGAGTTCAACTTCTCTGTACATGGAGGTATCTTTTGAGCAATTTGAAAGGAATGCTAAGAATTTTCTGTGACTCATTTGATTAATTTTTTCTGGGTTTTTAAAATTTTGCAGTCTCTTCCAGCAATGAATCGTTTGTACATATATTAGCCAAAGTTTCATCATGTGATATATATGTTTGATCATAGCACGTGCTGTGATGAGTGTGTATAGTCCTTTGTAAACTGTTGTAGCAGAGGGAGGTATAATAGATGATAATATATTATGCATTATATTGTTTCTGCTGCACTGGCCTTACCTCAAATAGGGGGCGCCCAACAACTCAACACTCAGTAACCATAGAATCCTACATTACTGCCATTTAAAAGATGACAATGTTACTTATCTACACTAATATTTTTTATTCAATTTGAAATAATTATTTAATATAATGTAATGTTATACTTAGATTAGTGCTTGTTGGCTTAATTCTATGACAAAATAGTCTTAAGCATCCTTGTAATTTGGAATAGTCTCTGATCTATTGGTGTGATCATGCATCTTTGGATATAATTTATTACTCAAGAATTAATTGAGTTATCACATGTGTTAACAAATTATATCAGTTAAAGAGTAAGTTCTATTACAAATTTACAATTAATAATATTGTTCCTTTCTTGAACTAATTAACCTTTTCCAGTGTTTCTATGAAAATCTTGCTCGGAAAGCAAATGAAGAATCTTCAGTGATGATGGCAACTGGCAAGGCGTGGATTAATGCACATCGAACCCGGGGCTCGCGTGAAGGCTGTGAGTAACTAAGTATTTGCAAATTTCCTCCATTTTTTTGGGCTTATTAATTTCTAATGAACAAAAGGTCCTTACTTTTCATAGTTGATCGATTCGTTTGATGTGATCAATTTTGATATTCTATGCTAAATTTAAAAGATAGATAAGAACAATTAGCTTGGGATCTTAACAAAAAAAAAAAAATGCTAATACGAGATTACGAGCAGTATTTTGCTGTTAAATATATGCACAAAGGGATTGGAAAGGTGGCTACTTTTGCTAGCTACAACGTAACTATGATGCATAACTTTTACCAAATGGTGTGAAACTTCTAATATTTTTTCCACATTGTGTGGCAATGTTGTTCCTTTACTAGCATTTATGCAGTCTGCTTTTTTGTTTCACTCACACTTGTGTGATGGGTTTGCTTATTAAGCTCTTCATTTTTGAAATAAAATGCATCTCCAAATGAATATTATCTGATCTGTAATAAATATGGCACTTGTTTGGGGTGTCCTCAATAGAAATTTCTTTTTGGAAGTTGTCTGGTTTCAATGTGTGTTTGTTAGCATAGTCCTTAACCTAGATTACTGTTACGTTTGACAGCTCCTGGCCTGGCCCCATATGCATCACTGGAACACTTCAAATCAAATTCAAGGAGTCTGCTTCGTACTCAAGAGGGTGGGAGATCGATGTTCTCAATCAATGTTGTAGTTGTAGCAGGTATATATCTATATTGATGTCCTCATTGATATATATTTGGATGGATATCCTTTATTGTTCTTCATATATAGATGTATCATTTAAACTAGTATATACTTTGCTTCATGATTTGGGAATTATTACAGATGACTTCAATTCTGTTCATCAAATCAACTCAAAGTCTGCTGTTTTAATATATGATGTACATATGTTTAAAAAAGAGCTAACTTGATGTACTCTTGCTGAACCCCTTTTGATTCTATTTCTTTGTTTCTTTCATGTAATGGTGTAAGGCCATTTGGTGTTTCTCTCTTGGTTGCTGGAGTTGATGACAAGGGTCCCCAATTGTATAAGGTATATTATCCATGTCTAGTGATTGTGACATTTTTCCGACTAATTAAAGTGGATATCATATATACTTCTTTACTTTATTTGGTTTATTTTGCCAATCAAGCTGGAGGAAGTCTGTTGTTTGTTACATGTTTTATGTTTCAGAAATCTGTGAAGTTCTTTCCTTGTTACATATACACTGATTTGCCAAAAAGAGTTAACTTGATGTTGCATTTTATCTGTTGGATCTTGAAATCACCTAATAGTTCATACTTAGACACCCTTAGCTTGCTTAGTGCTTACTGTTCGATATTGTTTTATGCTTTATTGATCCTTTGTTTGACATTGGAATTAGGTGTTTGATGAATTCGATCTCTTTGGCCAATGATGAAGCAGCTTGTGGATTTCATATATTCAGCTGAAGTATGCAGATACCCTCTGTTCAAATGCAGCTAATGAAACAGTCTGTGGATATCAAAAGATTTTATTTTTCTGTTCAAATGTAGCTACTACTTTTTGAATTGTGAACATGCAATTAAAATTGCTAATTTTTGGTAATATTACATTTTTATAAAAGTACTATTTCTTTAAAATTATTATGGTAGGATAGATAATATGTATTAAATTAATTGAGTAGCAAAATGTATTTTTTTTAAAATTAATTTTAATTTTTTTTACTTGGTTGTCGACATTTCCGACCACCTAGTGGTCGGTAAACTTACTATGCGTATATACGAATTATATTTTCCAACCACTTAGTGGTCGCAAAACGTAATTCGTATATACGCGTAGTAAGTTTACCGACCACCAGGTCGTCGGAAACTCCCACCAGCCAACTTTCCCATGTGACAAAACTTTCCGACCACATTATTTTAGTGGTCGGTGTTTCCGACCACTATATGTAGTGGTTAGAATTTCCGACAAGCGTTTTTGCGGACTCCCAAAGTGGTCGGAAAATCGGTCGGAACAGAGATTTCCGACCCGATTTTGGCTATTTCCGACCACTATTTGGTGGTCGGAAAACCGCGAATTTCCAGCCGTGATCTATGAACTAAAATTCCATAATGAATGGACAACATAATACTGTTATTAGGAATCGAACCTGAATTTTATTTTAAAGGGGAGACGCGCGTTTTTAATAAAACGACGTCGTTTTTGCATCCGTATGTATGCACCATGCATGGTGCATACATACGGATGCACAGCATAAGTATTCTTTAATGAGTGTGTCTCTTTACTCCGTTCTCTTAGAAATGTAGTAGTGAGGCATGTGAGACAGACATCGAACTCAATAGCCCAAACGTTAATTAGCTAAGACCACGAGTTTCTGTTGCACTAGTCGGTTTGGAGCACTAGTACACCGCCATCTTAGCCTGTATTAGTCCTTACTTTTGAGCTTTGTAATTTAATCCAGTTAGCTTAGGCAGTTATATTATTTGTTGGCTTCAAAATAAAAATAATAATTATGTACACCCCATAATCCACCAAACCTATCTTAGACTATGCACACGTCCACTTACATATGCGCACCCACCAACGAATAACAAATATATAAACACATACATGTAAGCCACGCCATGATGCAAAGTGTCATTCCTAGAATTTTGCACATGCCATAACGTACACACCATCGCACCCGCATCACTAATACATGCATACACCTACTGCCGGGAGCGCACACGCTTTGGAGTCGTGAAATATGAACTACTTATCAAATAACTCCAAACTCAGTACTATGCATCAATCGGCCGCTTCAATACATGTACACAAGACAATTTCCAAAGTTTCATAATCACACATCATAATCACACAGTTTTTCACAAAATCGGTGTCTTAATCGTGGAAGACATTCTGCTTAACTCCGTGTCATGTAAACCTATAGACTAGTTACAACATTTTTTATACATTCTGCACTTCTCAGATTAAATTTGGTGGTTGCATGCTTTTTTTGGTGGATGCGTGTTTTTAACTTTCGGGTATATTTACTATTTTTTTTTTTATTCAGAACATATATTATATTAGGTTTGTCAATCGCACACACACAATTCTATTAACTATCATAATGTGAGGTGATTAAAAAAATGCACACTCCATTACACAAAAATGCACACACCACCTTAAAAAAATAGACATGATGAAAAGTTCCATTGCCATGCTAACGCATACGGCACCACTAATTCGTGCACACACCTATGTAGCAACTTAAAAAAAAAAAATTACAAACGCCTATACAAAAATCAGATTCATAATTCGACTCGTTCAAATTTCACGAGTGCAGATAGCGTGAGGACCCCAGACGGTAGCGGGTGCGTTATGTTGGCAAGTGTGTGCACCAATAGATCATAGACTTTGCATAATGTTTTTTTTTTTTTTAATTTGTTATGCTAGCGAGTGTGTGCATTAGAAAATGCCATTATTATTATTATTATTATCTTGTTTTTATGTACTCCGTATTTATTTGTTTATTATTAATATTTTCTTGTTTATATTTATTTATTGCTATTATTATTATTTATACAAATGTCTTTATATATAGGTCTTTAATTTTTACACGCTAATTGCTAATTTTACTAAATATTTTATTACAAATCTTTAATTCAATACGCTAAGCTAGTTAATTAATCTGCCTAAGATTTGGGTTGAAAGCAAGCAAGAAACACGTTTATGGATGGGTTTGCACAGATCCGAAAGCTAAAACAAATAAACTGCTAGTTTATTAATTTGGTGATTAATATATTGTTACACACATGATCCGCTCATTTGGTCCAAGACTTATATATGGTGGCAAAGACAATTTTAGTCCTTCATAAAAAATTTAGACAATTTATAAACACACTTATTGTGACGAAGACAATTTTAGTCCTTCATCTATTATTTCGTTAGTTGACTGTCTAAATAAGGGGTATTTGTATCAATTCAGCTTATTCTAGCTAGCATGCATGCTTCTAATAACTTGAGCTTAGTAACGGTTTGGATCATGTCTTGCTACTAAGTACTAACTACGTTACTAATTAATTAGGACACATTATATTTGTGTGTGTACGTGAGTACTATTATACTCATCATCATGTGTTTCTTGACATTTGCCAAAGATTGTAGATTTGTCTTTTACGTTTATGTGCTAACAATCCTAACTTACAGCCTAGAAAATTTAAGTAAAGGAAATAAACTATGAAATTTAATTACCGCTTTAATTAAAAACTTCATTCTCTATTTAAAAACATGTATCATCCCATCTTGTTGATAATCTGATTTTTAAGTTTGAATTAGTGATTTAGATTTTTGTTTTGATATTTTTGCTCATATGGGTGTTTTGCGTGTTTATTTTAAGATCAGTTAGTTCTGAAATTCAAGCCAAATAGCTACATAAGTGGAGAGTGAAACAAGATTATTCATAGTAGACACGACACAAGCAAGGTGAGGGAAAGAGTAAGCCTACAATATAATGGCATCCTTTTCTTCTTCTGTTTTAGCAGCAGCCATATATTGCTTTGTTATGCTCGATCTGCCATTCCTTGGCATGTAGTCAATTTCTTATTCATAGCGCCCTTGCTAAAACCTCAATTGTGCTCAATCTGGGTCATCATTAAAAACAGCATAAATAGAATAGAATTGGGCTATCCAAGAAGATAAAAACCACAGGTTAGCCAATAACTTGTAGACAAATACATACTAGGGATTGCAAGGTGTACACGATTCTATATTCATAATTACTGACCTATATATATGTTCATAATTATAAAGATATATATTTATAATTTTTGAATTTTATATTCATAATTATTGAACTCTATATTCACAATTATAAAATTCTATGTTCATAATTACTGAATTATATGTTTATAATTATAAAGCTATATATTCATAATTTTTAAACTTCATATTTACAATTATTGAATCTCTATATTTATAATTACATAACTAGATGTTCATAAATAACTCTATGTTCATAATTATAAAATTATATGTTCATAATTTTTGAATTATATATTTATAATTATTAACAATTTTGAAATTGTAACCACCGTGCATAGCATAATTTGCCTCGTCTGGGCCTGAGCAGCAAAAACAAGATATGAAGGTCTTGATGGCAAGAGAATTTCATCGTTATGTGGGTAAAACTTATAAATATATAAATAAATATACTCCGTATATCGCACCATTTATTTTATTATTTTTAAGTTGGGTAAATTATTATTTTCTATATATATATATATATATTATTGGGAAAATGACACTTTTTCTCCCTGAATTATTGAAGTGGCTGTTTTCCCCCTGAAATGTTAAATGGACATATTTATCCTTAAAATAAATATTTTATTTATTTTTTTTCTCCAACAAATTATGACCATAATTTGGTTCAAACCAAACAAACACTATAGCAACCAAACTGAAATATTCCAATTACAATTCAGAATCGAAACCCAATATTTAGAGTTTATTAAAATCGTGAACCGGAACGGACGATTGATGTTCCGAACTGAAAAAATAAAATACATTTATTGTTGAATTTAGACTATTTTAAAATAAAAAATAAAATTTTAAAATAAAGACGGTTCAAAATCGCGACCGGATCCGGAATCGCCGGTTCACGGTTCAAGATTCAAATTTTTTGATACATAATTTTAATAAATTGACATCTAAATATTGGGCTCTAGATCTGAATCATAACTGGAAACTTTTAATTCGATTGCTTTAGTGTCCGGTTCAATTCAAACCGAACCGTGGTCATCCCTACGTATACGCAATAATTTGTTGGAGAAGTAAAATAAATAAAATGTTTACTTTAAGGATAGAAATATCAATTTAATATATCAGGGGAGAAAAAACACCACTTTTTAAATAATTGAAGGGGCTAATGTGCTTACCTAAATAATTGAAGGGGAAAAAGTGCTATAAGTATATAACTCAGGGAAAAAAATGTAATTTTCCCTATATTATTTGTAAGCGGCATCTTGAGAGGTCAAGCCATCAATTATTGTTCCAGGCTCCCAGCAAAGCTATGACGTCAATGTTCTTGGCCTCCAAGAAATTCAGAGAACCAATTAAAATAGAGGAAATTATTACATGTACTCTATAATTAATACGGAGTAATTATACTTCTAAATTTTGATCTTATTTTTAAATTTTTATGTAGATATTTTCTTATGACACGCATATAAATAATATAATGATAATAATTTATTAGTTTAATAAGTTAAGGAGTAAAAATGAGAGAAACTTAACTCACTAATTTAGTAGGTAATATTTGAAAGAAGAAGTAATAGAATTTGAAAGTACAAGCTCTAAAATAAAACAGCAGGCCAGCAGGTATGGTACGATATGATTTGTTTGGCTGTTATTTTACTATTTTTATTCTTTGTGTTCTTCTGGTAAGGGATATATAAATATATATATTTGCATCGGTCCTATAATCTTGATTACATACAATACTCTTCTCCTCGAATTCCATGGAAGAAGCTATAGAGCTGGTTTTCATTCCTGCCCCAGGAATGGGGCACCTTGTTTCTGCAGTTGAAGCCGCGAAGCTCTTCCTACGAACACGCCCTCGCCTCTCCATTACAGTCTTCATCATGAAGTTGCCGTTTGATTCCAAGGTTAGTTCTTACACCGAATCTCTACTCGCCGTTGCCGATGATGACGAGAGCTCCAGGTTGAAGTTCATACCACTGGCGGTGGATCCTCCCGAGCATTTGAAGGACCACCCCGACAAGACGCTCTTCTTCCGTTCATTCGTTGAATCTCATAAGCCGAAAGTCAGGGACTGCGTTAATGAGATGAAGGGTTCGAGGATAGCTGGGTTTGTTGTGGATATGTTCTGTGACGTCATGATGGATGTGGCTGATGAGTTGGGGCTCCCCACCTATGTGTTCTATACTTCCGGCGCGGCTATGCTCGGCCTTCACCTCCATCTCCAAAGCCTCAGAGACGACCACGGCGTGGATGTCACGGAGTTTAAGGATTCCGACCCAGATCTGAGCGTCTCCACTTATTCCAAACCGTTTCCGGTCAAGTTAGTGCCGGCGGTTGCGTTGCTTAAAACCGGCGGGTCAACCATGTTCCTGGACATTGCCAAACGACTCCGACAGGCGAAAGGCATCCTCGTCAACACCTTCTTCGAGCTAGAGCCACACGCGCTTGAATCTCTGTCCAGAGATAAGAACGTCCCACCCGTGTACCCGGTGGGACCCATACTCAACATAAAAAGTGATAGCAACGGAGCCGCCGGCGAAATCCTGACATGGCTGGATGACCAGCCGGATTCATCGGTTGTGTTTCTTTGCTTCGGGAGCGGCGGGAGTTTCCCGGAGTCTCAAGTGAAGGAGATTGCTCACGCGCTTGAGCGTAGCGGCCACAGGTTCTTGTGGTCCTTGAGGCAGCCCCCGTCCGGAGGCTCAGTATATCCGGCTGACTACAACAATCCCGAAGAAGTCTTGCCGGAAGGATTCTTAAAAAGAACTAAAAGCATCGGAAAAGTTATAGGATGGGCCCCACAAGCTACCGTCCTAGCTCACCGAGCTGTAGGCGGGTTTCTCTCGCACTGCGGATGGAATTCAACTCTAGAAAGCGTTTGGTTCGGAGTGCCCATGGCAACATGGCCAATATATGCAGAGCAACAGGCAAATGCATTCCAATTGGTAACGGACATAGGAATGGGAGTTGATGTTAAGATGGATTACAAAAGAGATATGATGGTGGGATATACAGGAGTTTCAGAATATGTGACCGCCAAGGAGATCGAAACAGGAATCACAAGTCTTATGGACCATCCTGCTACCAATCCTGTTTGGATAAAAGCTAATGAGTTGAAAGAAATAAGTAAAAATACCCTACAAGAGGGTGGCTCGTCCTTTAATTTTCTTGAAAGTTTCTTTGAATATGTCGTGAAGAACCTCAAATAGTTGAATTAAATTTGAAAATTTTTATTTTCTGTACGTTAAACAATTTACGTTACCACAATTCTACTCTGTCTTGCACAGAGGATGAAACATTGTAAGTTGTAATTTACTTTTGACTAGTTTTGCATGATGGGATATGCTATCTCATTCTTCATTTGCTACTAAATAACAAAATTTCCGCTCTTAAATGCTTTCTTAATGAATGAAGACATAATAATTATAACGGTAGGGCTTATTTTGACAACAAAATAGAATATATAAAATTATTATATAAATTTTGTCTTTAGTTAGAATTACATAGAGAAAAAAAAAACATAAAGAATAATCCAATTGTCATTACCAAATTGGTATTTTTATTAGAGAGAAAAAGCCATACTCAATAAAGGTTGAAAAGATAAATCAAAATTGTTCATTTATATTTTCTCAAAAACTTGGGATATTACATAATACATACACATTTTTAAAATATAAGATTATATTTATACCTTTTTTGATTGAGCTCGTCACATCGAGTATTACGAGTGTTGTTTACTTCTCAGGTTTTTGAGTTAATAGTTAATACATAAAAGCAGAGTTTTATCCGTGTATACCCACGAATAGTAGTGATTAAAGATTTCATTTTATTTTTTTTTTTGGTCAAAGGGGAAGGGGTAGGAACCCCGCAGGTTATCTCCTGCTCTCGTAACTTGTACGCCTCAGGACACTGCTCTTTTCTTCCTCAAAATACTCACGAATCTCGTCCGATGATTTCTCAAAGTCGATCCAGTCACAACCTCCAATTTTTGCAAGGTCATCCCCAACTCTATCCTGTTCGCGAGGAACATAAGTGATCTTCACATAATCACATCCCAATTCTTTCCAATCCAGTACTTGCAGGCTTTCACAATGTCTCCCGTGGTTCCAATCAGATTAGTTTCCCCATTGATCAATTTGACAGCCTCTTCCGATTCGCTTTGAATCCAAAGCTTAGGAATACCCTTGTTCCAAGCCCAACTTAGAGCACATTTGATTGGATAGTTATGCTGTGCATTTATGCACCATGCATGCTGCATACGGATGCAAAAACGACGTCGTTTTATTAAAAACGCGCGTCTCCCCTTAACAAAAAAAAAAATCAGGTTCGATTCCCAGCAACAGCGTTATGTTGTTCATTCATTTTGGAATTTTAGTTCATAGATTATGGAATTTTAGTTCATTGATTCTGGAATTATAGTTCATCGATTATGGAATTGTAGTTCATCGATTATGGAATTGTAGTTCATCGATTCTGAAATTTTAGTTTATAGATTCTGAAATTTTAGTTCATTCGTTCTGAAATTTTTAGTTCATAGATTAGATTCTGGAATTTTAGTTCATCGATTCTGGAATTATAGTTCATCGATTCTGGAATTTTAATTCATATCTTGTTGCTGGGAATCGAACCTGAATTTTTTTTTTTAAGGAGAGACACGCGTTTTTAATAAAACGACGTCGTTTTTGCATCTGTATGCACCATACGGATGCACAGCATAATTTGCCCATTTGATTGCACCACATTCTCAATGGGGAATAAAATATTATTTTTTTTAATGCACACGCTTTTCCAATGGGGAATAAATTATTTTCTAAAGCATTCAAAGTTTTTTTTTTTTTTTTTAAATCAATAGTCATTTTCAGTGTATAAAGATATCAAAAAGTTTAAATCACGTTGATTCAACACAAATCTTGAATAAAATACAATAAAAATACTATTTTAAAATTACACATTGACACATTAAATTAATAAATTTAACATTCAATTATCTATGCATGAACATATCATATATAATTTTACATTGATATATAAAGTACTTATTTAAAACTAATCATTAGACATTATCTTATTCACGTAATGCGTGTAAAATACTAGTCTTTAATAAAATTCAATCGAAATAATATTTTAAAATTACCCACTTGACACACTACACGCCAATTTATGGCAATTTTTTAAGAAAAATATTTAGACCGGCATCTTGAGATCTCAACCCAACAATACTTTTTCGAAGTTTCCAGCAAAAATATGACGTACACGTCATTGACTCATTGGGCCCCAAGAAAATTATGGTAGGGAAAAAAAATCATTTAAAATGAAATCTCAATCACTTTTTATTTACTTTAAAAAATGTATTTAGATAACCTCAGCTAAATCAGACTAATCCTAAGTTCACAATACTTTATCTTTAGAGCCATTACAGAGGTAAAATTGCAAGTCGCACAATCAATTTACCGATCAAATCCTAGTCATTTATGTACGTATAAAGAATCGAATCCAGACCTTCTATTATCTTTGTACATTTTTCATGTATAGTTCCATTGAAATTCGAATCTCCACATTGTCGCCTCTCTTCACTTTTTATTTTTAAATGAAATATCAATCACTTTTAGGGTCCGTTTGGAAAGAAGAAAAATGATTTCTGAAAAATGAGTCATTTTTCAGAAAACATTTTCCTTTCTTGTGTTTGGATGTACAACAGAAAACAGTCTTTGCGTGTTTGGTTCATTTTTCAGAAAATGAATAGAAAAATGAACAAAATTGTATACTTCAATTATTTGTATTTCTTCCCCTTTTTTTATTACTTTTTATGATATTTGATAAGTTCAGTTTTTAGAATAACAACTTTAACCGAGTAATTAATTTATTTTGATACATCATTTGTTTTTATTTTTACTCTACTGTGTTCTTCTTTCATGGCCTACAATTCAAAAAAATAGTGGAGTAATTCAGTCAAAACAAATAAGCACAACAACTCTATTGGGTTCTTCTTCCCACTTCATCACTGGTTTCCGTCCGCAGCCGATAACCAGTGGCACTGGTTTACGGCTGCGAGCCGGAAACCAGTTTGGTTTCTGGTTTCCGCATTAGAAACCTCTCTGGGTTCCGCATCGAAAACCAGATAACTAGTTTCCCTGCTAAAACCAGTTCCCACTGGTTTTCGATGCGGAAATCAGAGAAATGGTTTCTGCATCGGAGACCTCTCTCTTTTTCGATTGTTTCCGAATTAGAAATAAGTACCTTTGGTTTTGTAGTTATACAATTGTTGAGGAGGAGGAGGAGGAAATCTGAAGTAGTGCGAGTATTTAGAAGATGGAAAATAACTTCTCCCCGAAAAAGGGGGAGTCATTTTCCGGAAAGTTAGCCTCATTTTTCATTGACAATTCTTCATTTTTCTTTGACCACTCAGTTTTTTGCCTAGCCAAACACCAGAAACCCGGGTTTCCAAACGAAGCCTTATTTACTTTTCTTTATATAAGATGATATAGCAAACCAAACTCAATTCTACATATATGTTTGTAATTACTGTATGAAAATTCAATTCAATTTTGTTTGCTATATCATCTTATATACGTACATGATGACGACGACATCTCAATCAGCGCAAACATGTTGTTAACCTATTAAAAATGTCAATTGCTCTTTTTCTCATTTGGAGTTTATTCGAGTTCAGTGGCTTAATTGCAATCCCCAAATAGTTCAATGGTCTATTTGTACCTTTTTCCAAATTTTACGGGCCTAGCCCATAGCTTTTATTTATTTATTTTTTTTTATTTTCATTTTTTATATAGTTTTTTGTTTTGTTTTTTGTTTTTTCCATTTTTTTTAGTTTAGAGTATTATATTTATCAATTATGGCCCTGTTTGGTAAAAAATTGGCCTATACCAATTTTGGCTTATTTGACCACTATTAATTGTTTTTTTTTTTAAGGTCAATCTTGCGATTGTATTAATAAATCAAAGCCGAAATAGCGTCAGGTGGGATAGCATCCCAGTACATAGCTTGATCCTGAGTAAATGCTAACGTAGCTAAAGTATGCGTATGTAAATTAACCTGCCTAGGAATGTAATCCAAAGTAATACGATTAAAAAACGACATAAACGTTCTGCACTGGTCAACTGTGACCCCGACGTACGAATGGATCGGCGTGTGATGGTGCCTGATAATCGCCGCCAATTCCATGCAATCCGTGAGTAAACTTACTGATGTGGTGTCCCGTTCAAGTAGCCAGGACAAAGCCTCCTTGTATGCCTGGGCCTCCGCCATAAGTGGTGAAAAACAAATTGGTAACTTGCCATTCCTTGCTGCCACAAACGAGCCATCTGGCGCTATAATTACCATGCCGTAAGTAGCCTCGCCCGTGTCGTGCCGGAAACCCGCGTCCACATAACATCGTAGACCAACCTCCCCTGGACTGTTCACGTGGTCCATCGCCGGTGCCGGCTCGGTTCGGTGGACATGGGCAGCGCCGTACGCCTGCAGCGCTACGGTGGCTGCTCTGACCAACTGGGTAGGCCGCATCATTGATCCCTTCCAGACAGCTGAATTCCGGATTCTCCAAATATAATATAATACTGCTATCATTAACCGGGTCTGCTCCTCCGTCAAGAATGCCATAGCCCCTTTTAGCCATGTTGTAAACGAGTCTGCAACAATATTAATAATAGGCAACTGTGTTATATTCCAAACAAGTCTAGAATATTCACAGAGCACTAAAGCATGCAATACATCTTCATGATCTAAACCACACATAGGGCAAGTTGGGTCCACCTCCACCCTTTTAAAAATCAAGTTAAGGGTTGTTGGCAAAATGTCACATATGGCTCTTCACAAAAAAGTTTTCCATTTCGGGGGGACTTTTATTTTCCACATTGCGACCCACTTATCAAAATTCGCTGGATTATTCTCATAATCTCCCACAATATGCCTATATGCATTCTTTACTGTATATGTCCCCTTTGGGTCACTCATCCAATACCATGAGTCCTCATACTCAGGACTAACAGGGATCATATTTATTCGCTCCACATCTTCAAGAATAAATAAGTCAGACAAAATATGTGGATCCCAGGTATGAGTCTGTAAATCAATTAGTCCTGCAACTCGTGCCTCTCTCAATTGCTGTGGCATTTCTGTTTGAATCAATGGGTTAGGATTATCTCGTAACCACGGGTGTCCCCATATTAAAGTTGTCTGTCCATTCCCAATCCTCCTTCGCACCCCTGAGACTACCATTGCATGGGCCGCCATTATACTTCTCCAACAGTAACTCGGGCAATTACCAATAGTTGCATCTGTAAAACTGGTTGTGGGATAATACCTTGCCTTGTAGATTTTAGCTACGAGTGTTTCTGGGTCTGTTAAAAATCGTCATGCCTGTTTACCTAGCATTGCTAGATTAAAAGCCCTCAGCTCTTTAAAACCCATTCCGCCATACTTTTTTGGTATGCACAACCTGTCCCATGCCTTCCAATGTATTCCCCTTTCTCTTCCACTGCCCCACCAATATTTATTCATAGTTCGCTCAATTGACTGACAAACTGTCTCAGGTAACAAAAAAACACTCATCGAAAAGGTAGGCATAGATTACGCTACACTTTTCAATAATACTTCCTTACCAGCCTGAGAGAGTAACTTTTTACTCCACGAACCAATTCGTTGCCTGATTTTTTCCTCCACATACGAAAAAACAGCTCTCTTATTTCTCCCTACAAAAGATGGTAGACCCAAATATTTCCCAAAATTGGGTGCTTGCACCACCCCCAGACAATTCGCTACCTGTGCCTTGTTAGCCTCCTGGGTATTTCTGCTAAAACATATATTTGATTTACTATAATTCACCACCTGGCCTGACAATTTCTCATACCTTGCAAGGCACTGCCTTATAACTCCTGCCTCCTGGATATTTGCTTTAAAAAATAAGAGACTATCATCCGCAAAAAATAGGTGTGATACAGGCGGCGCCCCCCTTGCAAGCACCCATGTATTGAGCCTGCCAACTGTTCATACTGTAATATCATCGAGAGAGCCTCTGCATAAATAATAAATAAATACGGAGAGAGCGGGTCTCCCTGCCTGAGTCCCCTATTAATTGTTTGATTTAGTTAAAATATCAATATAAATGTTTGGTTAATTAGCTTTTTGCAACTCCAAAAGGCTAAAATACAAAAAGCTACTCCAAGCAACTTTTTCAATTAGCTTTTTGAGAAAAGAAATTATACCAAACAGCTATCAGCTAACAGCTAATTTACCAAATACTTTTTTATAATCAGCTAATGTTATCAACTATTTATACCATCAAATTAACACAATCAGCTAATAGCAAACAGCTATCAGCTAACAGTCATTTTACCAAACAGGACCTATGTATTTTTTAATATAATAAATAATTACAATTTATAATTTATTTACATACATACTTTTAATATAGTTATTGTTATTTTTATAACTATTTATTTATATAAGTTTTGATTTATAACTTTAGGTCTAATATAAATAAAAGCATATGAGAGTTAGTTAATCATGTTAGAAGATGAAATTTTATTGTATTACAATTATTATTATTATTATTTTATTATTATTATTATTATTATTATTATTATTATTATTATTATTATTATTATTGAAAGGGTTATTATTATAATTAATATTTTATAAGAAATAATTTTATAATAAATTATTGTTCATTTTTTGAAAAATAAACCAACCAACAAAAAAAATATAATGTCTTGATTTTATCATATATAAAAAATATTTGTTGACTTTTTAGTTGTAACCTTAATGTTGGCGTGATTTGGTGTGAATAATTTTTAGAAAATAAAATAAGGTTATATTTTTTGTATTCTTTCTTACCTCGATAGAACCAAAGGATGTTTTACTCAATTTTGGAACAAAAGAAATAGTAGCTATGATATGATTAGTTGAATTGTTTGGCTGTTTTTTTTTTTTTTTTTTTTTTTTTTTGGGAGAGCACAAACACTATACTATTGTTGATAATTTTTTTGTTTGCGTGCACAAATGGAATATAGTAATATGCCCCTTGGAGTTACGTCGATCTTTATGACCACTAGTCCACTACCTAGTACTAACATCATGATTTGGCCACTCAAGATACGGAACAAAATAATAGTACCAAAATTAAAAAATGTTGAATATGAAAGATTCCATATGGACTAATATAAATAATAATAATAAGATAATACAAGAGAAGTCGATTGTGAAGTATGTGGTGTATGTGCACTTGTCCACAGATGACCATAATCCGACGGTCTTTTTGAAGGTATTTATTGATCGTGCATTATAATATCAAAAATATTACTTATACTTTAAAAATTGTTTCTAATTTTTATTTTTATTTTTATTTTCACTAAATGTTCAAATTTTATTGGATGAAACAAAAAATTTTTGATAAAAGTCATGACCTTTCATATTCTAAGGAATCAAAGCATATATCACATCATAAGAAATAAAAATGAGAGTATAAAATGAGAGCACATATAGAATGGCTAAAAGTAGTGGCAGGAGTCCGTGTAGTAACAACATCCTGTTTGCCTTGACAGTATGGAGTATTTGGAAATGGAGAAACGAAGTGGTATTTAATGGTGCATTTAAATCACTGCAATATAAGATTCCATGGATTAAGGTACAAGTTGCTGAAGTAGTTGCATCATCGTTTGCCAAAGCTGAAGGAATCAGAGTAGCAGGAGCGACTAACGAGTGGAAGCAACTCACATGGTCCAAACCACAAGAGGGATATGTGAAGATCAACGTTGATGGCTCCACTGATATATCTTTGGGTAGAGCAACCTGTGGGAGAGTCATTAGAGACTGCAATGGAGATTGGAAGCAAGGCTTCGTTTTTAACATAGGCAACTGCTCTCCATTTGAAGCTGAATCGTGGGCTCTCTTGAAAGGTATCCAACTAGCTATACATATGGGCACCGAAAGCAATATTTGAATCTGATTCTACCCTCCTTGTGAACTATATGAATGATACCAAACCACCTTGCTTTACGGCTCATAACATATTAGAAGCATGCAAAAATGAGTTGAGAAGGTTAGAGGTTTGGCACTTGATCAGTATTTTGAGGGAGCAAAATATTGTTGCGGATGCATTGACTAAGAGTGGCAGGAACTATCCGAAAGGGATGCATGTGTTATTTGATCCTCCGAAAACGATCATGGGATTTTTAGAAGATGATGTAGCCAATATTCCTTCTTGACGCTTTATTTGTAACACAAACTGAACTGTTTTATGTTTCTTTGGGTTTTCCCCTTCCAATATATATATATATATATATATATATAATTACTTTTATAGTATTGCTCACTAATCACTACCCAAACATATAACTTGATCTTAGCTTGAATATAATTCTCAGTCTCACTACTTGATGGGCCCCAAGTCACCCTGTGTTTATATGGACTTGTAAGACAATGATCCAGGGAGAATGGGCCAACCCAAGAAGTGAGGTGGCCCTAATCCCAATAAAATGATCATTACCATACGATAGTCTTCTCCAAATTCTACCCAAATTCAAAGGAAGAAAAAAAAAAAAAAAAAAAGACCATAATGATAGAAGATATAAGTGACGGTTAGCTGTTAGCTGATTTGGTTAATTAGAGAATATAATTAGTTGATAATATTATCTAATTATAGAAAGGTGTTTGGTAAATTAGATATTAGCTGATAGTTGTTTAGTATAATTATTTTCAAAAGATTAATTGAAAAAGTTGGTTTGAACAGCATTTTGAAGTTACAAAAAACTAATTAACCAAACATTTATATTGATATTTTAACCAAATTAAACAATTAATAATGAGTAAATTTCACTTTTGGTCTTATGGCTATTGTGGTCTTGTTAATTTCAGTCCACGACTTTTAAAACTGTCAATTTAGTACTTTAACTATGCAATTTTTCTCAATTTTGGTCCATCCGGCCAAATTTCCGACAAAAATTAATTGAAAAGACAAATTTACCCTTAAATTTTTAAAATAATAACTTAAAATATTATTTTTTTTCGCTGTTGTCATCGGCAACCATTTCTCCGATTTGTTCTCTATTTGAATCTACGACTTGAATTCATGTTTGAACAACTGATACTCTTTTGATAGCGGAATTTGATAATTAAAGATGACTACTTTACGTTAAAGGCAGCATCTTTTCCTTTTTATCCGTAAAATTAAAGATTCAATTGTTTTCTTCGATTATTCCGTGGTGATGGAGGTGCGCCGGAAGATGATGACGGTTTTGGGGTTGGGGTTAGGATTTGTTGTGTTGACGTTTGTTCCGGCAAGTTACGGTTAGGTTTCGATTCCGACAGGGCCGGATGGTTCTGGTATGAAGAAAGAGCCGCCGGAGTTGATTTTGGGCTACAGTATGTATTCGATCGGTCATTACAGTACGTATTTACAGATAAATTAACAGAGTGCAATTTGAGCTATGAATTTGATGTTAATTAAATAAACTCATTAGACAAACTACTTAATTAATTAAATTCAAGCCATAAATTCAAACAGAGGACAAACTGGTCGGAGAAATGGTTGCCGACGACAGCAGCGGAAAAATAATAATATTTTAAGTTATTATTTTAAAAATTTGAGGGTAAATTTGTCTTTTCAGTTATTTTTCGTCGAAAATTTAATCAGATGGACTAAAATTGAAAAAAAAATTGCATAGTTAAGGTACTAAATTGAAAGTTTTGAAACTCAGACTAAAATTAACAAGACCTCAATAGTCATAAGACCAAAAGTGAAATCCTCTAATATAAAAAAGCCATAAGAAGTAGTAAATGCAATTTTGACAAAAGTTCCCGCCCAAGCAAAAACTACGCCGTTTAGATTACTACTATAAACGATATGTTATATGTTATACTTCGGATTCACAAGCTTTGATTTTAGAAAAGTATTTACTCGACTGTCGAAATCTTGGGTGGAGACATTATTAATGGCGCAGCCACAACTCTTCTGTTTAGTTGATGGAATCGTCGAATTGATGGAATCGATTGCCGCTCCTTTAATTTTCTGGGAAGGGACAAATCCATTAAATTTTTGGGGAGCATGTCTGTTTGGTTTATTTCAAATTTTAAAACACAACAAGATCTGTGATATCTGCATATAAAAAGAGCATTGAGGATACCGTGATAAGATAAAAACTGAATTGCAAAGATAAAGATAATGAAGCAACTAACAAGATCAGCTGTGATAGGGAGGAAAAGGAAACATCCTTCTTATAACAAAGGTACAAACTCTGAATACTTTCTCAATCTTAATATCAAATTTGTTCTAGCTGTTCATTTCTGCTCAAACATCATTTCTGTTGTATTCATATAAGAAGCATACTTCTGTACAGAATAATTCAAAGGATAGAAAAATGCAGTCGATATGAATCTTAGGGCAATTTTGGGCTCATTTACACGAATTGGATAATGAAATTTTCAGAGGATGAAAATACTAGATCATTAGAACTAAACAAACAGAACAGATTTAAATACATTAGATCATGAAATTTCATGCTATATATCATGTTCTTGACAGATTTAAATACTTTACAGAGCATGAAATTTCAGAGCATGAAAATAACAGAGATATGAATGTGTAGATGATTAAAAATGATACACTAGATAACCTAGATATGAAGTAATTTGAAAAATAAATTAGTTCAGATCTTTTATGAACTGAAAAACAAAACAGATTTATACTCAACAACCATAGCAGTACCGCCATAATTGAAGCATAGGTTCTGCGAACCAAAAACATCACAGACAAGAGGTTTAGATCTGCTTCCGAAGGACACGAAAATCACAAAGATGTAATATGCAGGAACACATTAGAAAGATGTAGTTGGTGTAGTGTAGTGTAGAGTGAGTTGGGTTTGTTGGATCTAAAGGGAGAGTGATGGAAGTTTCCAGATCCGTAGCCAGCGATAAGAGCAAGAATATCAAACCTACAGTGTTGCCAGACCCATACGGTGGTCTAATTAGTTATTTATTTATTTGCTTTTTATATAATTTTTTATTTCGTCCTCTCTCTCTCTTTTTAAATCTTATATTATTATTTTGCATGTCTTCTATTTTGGCCTGTTTTTTTATTTAAACTTATTTTGATATTTCTTTTCCCCCAGAAAATGATAATAGTTGGATCAACAGTAGTAGAGATTTTAATCCAGAAGATAGCTATGTTTATGGTGTTTTTGACAGTTCAATAAATTCACCATTGAGCATTATAACTCATAGTAAGTATTTTGAGGTTAATATTTGTAAGTCATTTGATATGCAGATAATTATTCATGTTGCAAATATTTTAATATGCAGGTGGCAATTTAATAAAATCAAGTATTTCTCGCACAGTAAAGAAAAGAGCAACTCTTAATGAAAACGAACAGATGGATATATCTACACATAGGAGGGCGGTTACTGCTCACAGTAATATTCAGGGTAAAAATATTGTTGTTAAAACATGTTTTCCAATACAAATGATTTATATATAAAAAAAATATAAGAATACCCTTCTATTGTGAATTTTAGTGTCCAAGGAAAACCACTCTCACAACAATAGTAAAGCTAGCATGGATTCACAATTTAATGCTCAATCTATCCTACCTTTGACTGATGTGACAAATGGTTAGTAACCATTATTTCTATTAGACTATTTTTGTTTTCATCATAGTAATATATATATATATATATATATATATATATATATATATATATATATATATATATTTGGGTTCTCATTGTAAGCATTAAATCAATATTATTCTTTTTGTATTGTAGTTATCCAAGTCACTGTTAATGATGGTAACGGATTGTCAGTATTGAAAGTGAAGACATCAAAGGGCAAAGACGATAACAGATCGACTTTGAAGACACCAAATTGTAACATTATGGTTTTTAATTATGCTATATTTATTTGTTTAAATAATAAATCATACAATTATCTTATTAAATTGTTTCTAATTAAGAAATGTCTTTTTACGTTGCTTTTTGTTTGTATCATAGGTCATTGTAATACTTCTTTGGGGTTGGAAAATGTACTCGATTTACAAAGTGTCGGACAAGTCACAATTCAACCAACTCTTACTTGCCGCAATCTAAATATAGACTTTGATGAAGTACTAGATCCTGGACAAAATATAATTAATTCAATAGTTGGTGAGCTATAATTGATTATACTTTGTTACATAAATAGATAACTTAAACTGAAGTCCCATGACACAGTATATGCAACTAAAGAATTAATTTGTATTGCAGTTGAGTATGCAGATTTGGGTGACCCAACAAATTTATGTGAACATTGCAATGCATTATTTTGGTACGAGGAGCGAGTGAATAAAGCATTGATGAGTGGAGCCACGAGATATTCGGCGTGTTGTGGACATGGGAAAATTAAGCTGCCTCAAATACGGATGCCTCCCAAAAAAATATTTGATTTATTCTTTTGTCACGGGAATAAGAGAACAGAATTTCTGCAAAACATCAGGACATATAATAACATGTTTTGTTTTACTTCTATGGGAGCAAAGGTTGACAAATCTCTAAATACTGGAAAGGCTCCACCTATTTATAGGATTAATGGTCAAAACTTTCATTTGATTGGAAGCTTATTACCAAATGACGGTAATAAGCCAAAGTTTGCACAACTTTACATACATGACACTCAAAATGAAATTGATAATCGCATGAACTCATTCAGGTGATAATCGCATTTGCTAATTCAATCTTATAATCGCATGAACTCATTCAGGTGTTTCAATGTATTTTTTAATAGCTTTGTTTTTGTTTTCTGTAGGAAAGAAGAAGATAGAGCTAATATACATGTTGATATTGTTGGAGATATTAAACAGGTTCTAGATAAGTACAATGTATTAGTGAAATCATTTCGATGGGCTAAATCTGAAATTGACTCTAACCCACGAGTAGAGATTAAAATGAGACTTATTGGTAAACGAAACAATGATGCAAGAACTTATAATTTACCAACAGTTTCAGAAGTCGCAGCTCTTATTGTCGGTGATCTAGACCCAACAATAGGTGAACGTGACATTTTGGTTGAGTGTAAATCAGGTGGTTTAAAAAGGATAAGTGAGTTGAATCCCGCATACTTACCATTGCAGTATCCTATTTTGTTCCCATATGGCGAGGATGGGTATAGGGAGGACATTCAGTTTAACTTCTCTGTAAACCATCGTGGTGGGGGAAGGGTACGTGTATCGCAGCGAGAGTATTTTTCATATCGGATACATGAAAGATTTAGTGAAGTGTCAACTTTACTATATGCAAAGCGACTTTTCCAACAATTTTTGGTTGATGCATACACAATGGTTGAATCCAGTAGGCTATTCTTCATTAGGAACAATCAGAAAGCTTTAAGGTGTGAAGCATACAAAGGACTGTCAGATGCATTGACAAGAGGAGAAGTTGATTCTAACAAACAAGGTAAACGAATAATTCTGCCGTCGAGTTTCACTGGTGGTGCAAGATATATGATACAGAATTACCAGGATGCAATGGCAATATGTCGTCAGAAAGGATATCCCAATTTATTCATTACATTTACTTGCAATCCAAAGTGGCCGGAGATACAACGATATCTAGACAAGCGCAATTTGAAAGCAGAAGATAGACCAGACATTGTCTGTAGAATATTTAAGATGAAGTTGGATTGCTTGGTTAAGGAATTGAGAGCTGGCAAATTATTCGGTGCAGTTACTGCAGGTACGGTCCTTGGATACTTAGATAGAATAATATGTTTTTTTATGATATGTTAATTTTCATAACATAATTCCTGTCAACCTTATTTTATTTCAGTTGTATACACCATTGAGTTTCAAAAACGTGGTTTACCACATGCCCACCTATTACTTTTTTTGGAAAGAAATAGTCAAAGGTCGACATCAAACTACATGGATTCCATTATTTCAGCAGAGATACCGGACAAAGTAGTGGACAAGGATTACTACAATGTTGTTGAAGAATTTATGATACACGGTCCTTGTGGACCAGCGAGAACAAAATCGCCTTGCATGGTGAACGGAAGATGTTCAAAACACTTCCCGAAAAGATTTGTTGAGCTCTCCAATTGGGATGAAGACGGCTACCCAATCTACATGCGCCGGGACGATGGTAGAACTATCTTAAAAAATGGAGTGGAATTAGATAATAGATATGTTGTACCACATAACAGATATCTGCTTCTCAAGTATAGGGCACACATAAACGTGGAATGGTGTAATCAATCGAGGTCTATCAAATACCTGTTCAAATATGTCAACAAGGGAAATGACAGGGTCACAGCTGAATTCTACAAGAGTACAACTGATGAACATTCAAATGAAGTGGTAGATGAGATAAGCATGTACTATGATTGCAGATACGTGTCTGCTTGCGAGGCTACATGGCGACTCCTTAGTTTCGATGTCCAATTTAGGACCCCTCCAGTTGAGAGACTAAGTTTCCACCTTCCAAATTGCCAGTCAGTTGTGTTCGAGGATGACGATCGAATAGACAACGTCTTGAATCGTCCTACTGTGGGTCAAAGTATGTTCACTGGCTGGTTCGATGCAAATAAGAGATTTGATGTTGCAAAGGGATTGACATATATTGACATGCCAACCAAATTTGTCTGGAAGAAAGATATTAGAGAATGGCATCCAAGGAAACGGGGTTTTTCAATTGGTCGCATTTTTTATGTACCCCCAGGTAGCGGTGAAATATATTACTTGCGATGTCTCTTGAATGTAGTTCGGGGTCCTACCAATTTTGAAGATATCATGACTTTTGAGGGAGTAAAGTATCCAAGTTTTAGAGATGCATGTTATGCACGGGGGCTACTTGACGATGACAAAGAATATATTGATGCAATAAATGAGGCAAGTCATTGGTCAACTGCACAAGCCATGAGGAAATTGTTTGTCATACTCTTGACATCGAACTTGGTTATTAGGCCGGAAAATGTTTGGAATGCCGTGTGGCAACATCTGTCAGAGGATGCACAGTTTAATAGACGAAGAGTCTTACAGAAAGAAGGTTGTACTCTCAGACTTTTAACATTTTTTTTTAGTTTATTTTTATATATTTACTAATGAATTTAACATTTGTTTTATTCATTTTTTTTTGTGTGGATGACAGACTTGATATTATCAGATGACGATAAGAAGAATTTATGTTTGATTGAATTGGAGAAATTGCTACAGTTGTACAACAAGTCTTTGAAAGACTACCCTCAAATGCCATTACCAAACTTCGATGATGCATGGTTGGTTGATAATAGATTGTTGTTTGAGGAACTGGCTTATGATCGTGAAGCTTTACATGAAGAGAGTCAAATGATGGAAAGACAATTAACTGACGAACAAACCATAGTATATGAAACAATCTTGGGAGATGTATCCTTGAACAACGGTGGATTGTTTTTTGTGTACGGTTATGGTGGAACCGGGAAAACATTTGTTTGGAAGGCTTTGTCTGCAAAATTGCGATCTAAAGGTGATATCGTCATCAATGTTGCCTCAAGTGGTATAGCCTCATTACTTCTAACTGGAGGACGAACTGCTCACTCCAGATTTGCAATACCAATTTCTTTAAATGAAGATTCAACGTGTAATATCAATCAAGGTAGCCACCTCGCAGAATTAATTGTAAAGACAAAGTTAATAATTTGGGACGAAGCACCGATGATGCACAAGCACTGTTTTGAAGCATTAGATAGAACAATGAGGGATTTGATGCGATTCCACGATCCGCTTAGTGCTGAAAAGACATTTGGTGGCAAGACTGTTGTATTTGGGGGTGACTTTAGGCAAATATTGCCTGTTATACCTAAAGGTACAAGGCAAGATATTGTATCAGCTACCATAAATTCTTCTTATCTTTGGGATACATGTAAAGTTCTTAGGTTAACAAAGAATCTCCGATTAAATAGAATGGACCCCGAGGTTGATCTACAACAAGTTGAAGATTTTGCAGAATGGCTTGCATCTATCGGAGATGGAACAATGGGAGGTCCAAATGATGGTTATGCAAATGTTAACATCCCACAGGAAATGTTGTTGCCATCTACCGGTGACCATATAGCAACAATTGTAGATAGTACATTCCCAATGTTCAAAAATGGTGGATGTGACCATAGCTACCTTGAAAGTCGAGCAATATTGGCTCCAACACTTGATGTTGTTAACGCCATAAATGAGTATATGAGTCAGTTGCATGTAGCTGAGAGCAAGACTTATTTCAGTTGCGACACAGTTTGTAAGTCTGATTCAAGCAACGGTATCCTTTCAGATGTGCACACTCCTGAGTTTCTAAATGGATTGCGAGCATCTGGTATCCCTAACCATGCATTAACTCTAAAGGTGGGATCCCCTGTAATGTTATTGAGGAATATAGACCACTCGCTTGGTTTATGCAATGGTACGAGGTTGGTCATCACTAGGTTATCGGACCATGTTGTGGAAGCAAAAATTGTGACTGGTAACAGCTCTGGTACAATGGTTTTAATACCTAGGATGTCAATGACCCCATCAGATCCAAGATTGCCATTCAAATTCCAAAGAAGACAATTCCCTCTTATGTTGTCGTACGCAATGACCATAAACAAAAGTCAAGGACAGACACTGTCTCATGTAGGTTTGCTGTTGAAGAAACCAGTGTTTGTACATGGTCAATTGTACGTTGCTGCGTCTAGAGTTAGCAACCCTAAGGGTCTAAAAATTTTAATTGCAAACGAAGGTGAAACGAGTTGTACTTCAACTACCAATGTTGTGTACCACGAAGTATTTAATAATTTGTAATTTTATTTCAATGTTTATTAACTTTTGTCATGCCTTACTTTGTCTACTACTTTGGGATACATTTATTTCTAATTAACTTCTTCTTTTAGTATATTTACATAAAACTTCTCCGTAAACTTTAAGAATCAATATCTTTACAAAATATTCTTTAGGTTAATATTAAAATAACTTAACGTAATATTGTATAATTCTTATCCGTGCATCGCACGGGACAATTACTAGTTATCAAATAAATTGATAAGCTGATACCAAAGACCTTGTCCAATGGTATAAAATAAGTTGATAAGTTAATTATTTTACCAAACAGGACGTTACACTGGTTTACATTCCATCTCCTGGAATGGGTCACCTTGTTTCTGCTGTGGAAACAGCAAAGCTCCTTCTACAAACACAACATCAACTCTCCATTTACAATCTTGCTCCTGAATATGCCTGCAATTGATTCCAACATTAATTCATATATCCAATCTTTACTTGCCGATAACGACTTCTCCAGGTTGAAGTTCATACCACTGCCAGTGCCAGAGGACCAACAAGTTCACCTTCTTCAGTTTCTTCATCGAATCTCAAAAGCCTAACGTCGTCAGAGATTGCGATAATCGGAAGGATTCTTTAAAAGAATTAAAAGCATGAGTAAAATTAACCGATGGGCACCGCATGTTGCCATGCTAGCTCGGATCAATGACCGAAATGTGTAGATGGCCAAGAGAATTTCCTTAAATGTGTCTTGATTTTTTTTTTGACAAAAATATGTAAACTCAGTTTCCAGTTGCGTTTTTGTTGTTGTCCCGACTGTATTTTTTTTTTTTTCATTATTTACGTAAAACGCAATGGCGAGTTGCGTTTTTCGTATTCTATACGTTAAACGCATCTGCCAAATGCGTTTTTATGTGACGTATGGAATATGTTAAAACACATTTGGGAGATGCGTTTTACGTATAATCCTATAAAATACGTAAAACGCAACTCCGAAATGCGGACTATTTACCGGTGTAGTCCGCCGGAATTATGTGAAAAACGCAAGAATGAATTGCGTTTTTGTAAGTAAACGTAAAAGGCCACTTGCACTTCCTCCTCACTTCCACAAAAGGGTGAGGGGAATGATCGTTTGCCGGCAACTCCTTCGCCTTCACCACTCTCACGTACAAAAACTGCATTTGCTCCACTAAGTCAAACGCCGTCGCCTGCCTATCATTCCCGCCGCCGAGCAGCGTCGCCGTCTCCCGGAGCCTGAACTCTTCTTGGTCTTGAACAACGGCGTTCGGTGCCGGTGGAGCACCGCCGGCGTTTCTGTTCTGCTTTCTGTTCTGGGTTTGGTTCGCCATTATTGTTGATTATGATAACAAGAAGAGAAGAGAGGACGCGGCAGTCTATATAGGAAACGATGGATTTTTTTCGAAAAATTTTGAACGATGGACTGGGAAATGATTGAATAACAGTTATTTGTGGTCCTCGCCGTTCTTCGATGTCGCCGGTACAAAAAATCCAAAAAACGCAACTTACTTTTGCGTTTTCCGTATAATACGTAAGACGCAAACGTAAGTTGCGTTTTTGCCTATACCGTATCCCCTAGAAAACGCATTAAGGTAATGCGTTTTACGTATACGAATACGTAAACGCAACTACCTCTTGCGTTTTACGAAAATATCGGAAAAAAAAAATGCCGGGACACAACAAAAAACGCAACTCCCAAAGGAGTTTTACATATTTTTGTCAAAAAAAAAAAAAAAAAAAACGCGACACACTTTGGGAATTTCAGGCTTTTGACCACACATTTCGGTCATTGATCCATGCTAGCTCACCCTGCTTTGGACTTTGGAGGGCTCTGTGTCACAATGTCGAGCAGAATGGTAGTACAAGAGGGTGACTCATCTTTTAATTATCTTCAATGTTTCTTGAGTAAATACCCAAAATGGTCCCTCGACTATAGCTAAATTCATAAATTGGTCATCGACTTTCAATTTCAACCAATTAAGTCCTTAACTTTGCAATTTTGACACGATTTGGTCCTCCATCAATTTGACCGTTTGTTGACCGTGATTCTCGTGTCCAACAAGAAGCACGATTCAGGTCGGGCCAATTACCGGCTCATGCACGTGGTTCGCACGCACAAGGGCACCGACTACAAAGCCTACCGCTACGTTTACGAGCAGGAAGATCCGCAAGGGAAAGTCTGAATCAACCTCTCAAAAGACCGCCAGCGAAGCCCTCAAATCCAACATAACCACAATCGGCTTGCTCGTTCTCCCGGTGTTGGAGCAGCTCATCTTCCTCTTCACCCTAATCGGCCTGAAAATCTTCAATCCCATATGGAAACCCTACATTCCCAACTTCAAACAGGTCTTCGAACACTTCTGCATCAACCTCGGCGGCCGCGCCGTCATCAATGATCTCCAGAAGAACCTGCAGCTCTCGTCGAAGCACGTGGAGGCCTCCAGGATGACGTTGCACCGGTTCGGAAACACATTGTCTTCTTCGCTCTGGTATGAACTCAACTACATTGAATCAAAAGTGAGGATGAAGAAAGGCAACCGGATTTGGTATATTGCTTTCGACAGTAGATTCAAATTAACAGTGCAGTCTGGAAATGCAACCGGAACCTTAAGAAACCGACGATGGACCATGAAATTACAAATATATCCTCAAAAATCACGGTCAACAAACGGTCAAATAGATAGAGGACTAAATTGTGTTAAAATTACAAAGTTAAGGACTTAATTGGTTGAAATTGAAAGTCGAAAACCAATTTATGAATTTAGCTATAATCGAGGGACCATTTTGAGTATTTACTCATGTTTCTTTGAGCATGTAGTAAACAATTATGATTTATGAATTATAATTTCAAATATATTTTGAATTTAAATATATATACTGATTTGAATTCACAACTATTATAATAGAAAATTCAATTCAATTTTTTTTTTTTATAAATACTCATAATTTTACAAGATAGTATATATATGTTCTATAGTTTCAGGAGTAACACTAGAAGATTCAGTTTGATATATATGATTTCACTTCAATTAACTTTATAAAATATTATATATGAAGTTCATTTATTACACTTTTATTATAAGTTCATCTATAGACCGGCCTATAGTGTCAATTCTTTTTAATTTTTGTTTTATTTTTTACTTATTTAAAAATATTGAATATTTTATTAATACATCGTCCACCGACCTCAAAGGAACCTAGTGGTTGTTTCCTTTCACAGACAGTTGTGAATGTCCGGCAATAGCCACATCTTTATGAAAATGACGGCCACTCATCAGAGGTAGTTATACTAGTTTCTCTCAATCTCTTCAATTCCGGAGTAGCTAGCAGTGAAGATGAAAGACGCAGTGGAGTTAGTTTTCGTTCCATTCCCAGGAATGGGTCACATCAGACCTGCCATTGATATGGCAAAGCTCCTCATACACAGACAACACCATCTCTCCGTTACTCTTCTCGCCATCACCTTTCCTCACGATACCAAGGTCACTTCTTACCTGGAATCACTCCACAATGATGACTCGAGAATGAAGGTCAAGCCACTCCCTAACGACCAATCTGCTCTCAACAATAGTAACGCCATGGACAGCGCTTTCTTCCGAGTCTTCATCGATTCTCACAAGCCTCTCGTCAGAGACTGCGTTCACGAGATCGTCGGATCGGGTTCTGTAAGGCTAGCCGGGTTTGTGGTGGATGCCTACTCTTCCGCCATGGCAGATGTGGCTGATGAGCTTGGGTACCCACCTATGTGCTAAACGCCTCCGGTGCAGCCATGCTCGGCCTTCAACTGCATCTACAGAGCCTTAGAGATGGCCGCGGCGTAGATGTGACGGCGTTGAAAGATTCCGATCCGGACCTGACTGTCTCGGCTTACCTGAACCCTTTTCCGGTTAAGCTGTTGCCGTTCGTTGCGCGAGAGAAGACGGGCTGGTCAACCTTTTTCTTGGATGTTGCCAAACGAATGCGAGAGGCGAAAGGCATCATCGTCAACACCTTCTTCGAGCTAGAGCCGCATGCACTCTAATCTCTCTCCGGGGAGGTCCCACCTGTGTACCCTGTCGGACCCCTATTGAACCTAAATCTGAAAACGACCAAGAATCGGAGAATAAAACCCTGGAATGGCTGGGTGACCATCCAGACTCATCAGTTGTGTTCCTTTGCTTCGGGAAGCGCGGGTCATTTCCCCGAGCCTCAAGTGAAGGAGATCGCTTACGCACTTGAGCGGAGCGGGGCAGAGGTTCCTGTGGGCGTTGAGGCGGCCACCGACTCAAGCCTCATTCTTGCCCACCGACTACAACAATCCCGGAGAGGTTCTGCCGGAAGGATTCCTTGAAAGAACTAAAGCATCGGAAAAGTCATCGGATGGGCGCCGCAAGCTGCAGTGTTAGCTCACCCGGCTGTCGGGGGATTCGTGTCGCACTGTGGATGGAATTCGACTCTGGAGAGCGGTCTGGTTTGGGGTGCCGATGGCGACTTGGCCAATTTACTCGGAGCAGCAGGCGAAATGCCGTTTCAGGTGGTGAGGGAGATGGGGATAGGAGTGGAGATCAAGATGGATTACATAATCGATATCGTGGATAGAACAAAGATTCCAGAAATAGTGAGTGCGGATGTGATAGAACGGGAATCAAGAAGCTTATGGTTATGGACCGGAATTCCAATCCCGCAAGGAAGAAGGCCGAGGAACTTAAAGAACAGAGCAGAGCGGCACTAGCTGAGGGTGGCTCTTCCTACAGTTCTCTTGGACGTTTCTTTGAGGATGTTATGACCAACCTAGGCAGCTAGCAGTTGTTGTATCATGTTTTTTTTTAAAAAAAAAATAATTAAATATTTAAACGAATAATAGCATTTTACAAAATAAGGATAATAATTTTACTTACATTATTTACAAATTAAAGTTCCACTATCGTGACAGCTGAACATATCATATCACAGCCAACGCTAAGGTTTGACCACTGAAGATGCCGGACAAAATAATAGTATCAAAATTCAACAATCTTGAATATGAAAGATTCCGTGTGGACTAATATAAACAATAAAATAATACAAGAGAAGTCGGTTGTGAAGTATGTGGAGTGGCAGTTGTCCACGGACGTCATAATCTTCTTTGGAGGTGTTGTGTAATCCACGGCGGCCAACACAACTGATTGAGAAACAAGAAAATTATTGAACAAGATTAGAATAACTAAAGCCAAGTAATACAGTTTGATGATATATCTGTTATTATTTTAAATAAATGGTCACTGAATTAACAAATTTTTATTTATATGACATAAATTTAATTGATGAAAGGTGACAGAATCAAACTTCTATGATAAAGTATAAACTCTTTGGATTATAACTATAATAGAAAAAGTATATTGAACAGCTGTAATAGACTTTCTCTCATTTTTAAAATTATAGTAACTCAATAGACTTTTTCTCATTTTTGAATTATAATGACTCAATGGC